GATTTCTTATTTATTTGGGATGGGATGGGATGGCATGCGATGGCATGCGATGGGATGGGATGGCATGCGATGGCATGGGATGGGATGGGATGGCATGGCATGGCATGGCATGGCATGGGATGCGATGAGATGGCATGGGATGGCATGGGATGGGATGGCATGGCATGGGATGTCATGGGATGGCATGGGATGGCATGGGATGCGATGGGATGGGATGTGATGTGTTATGGAATAGGATGGGATGGCATGGAATGGGATGGATGCATGCATGCATGGATATAAATAGACAGTTAGATTTTTTGGGTATTTTCCTTTCAACCAAGCGGTCACCAACTGAGTAACGCCACTGATTTCCCCGGGCAACGCCGGGTATCCGCTAGTAATGTATTTATATTAGAACATAGTAGAACATGTGAATGTTAGAGATATTATCACTACATAATTGTGTGCTAAAACCTAACTACCATTTAAAAGTTTTATATAGAGACAGTTTGAAATATACATATGTAATAGACAGGCAATCTATGGCTTCGCTGATGGTTTGTGGCGGCCACTTTAGATTCTTGGCTTCTGATGGTTACATGTTGTGAGTATAATTAGTCTAGGATTGTGCATGAGTGTTTAATGAGCAAAACAATACCAAATATTTGAAGATTGACCTAATATTACAGAAGTTATTGCAAGTTTAGTAAGTCTACCCCCTTAATTTATATGCACTCAGATGGGAAATTATACAATGTGTATTTTTTGTGATAAAAAAAATTACCCAAGGGTGCCATAGTGGCACCCGGTTGATTCTGGTTCAAGATAGTCTAAAGATCAGGAAACCACAAAAAACCGTGTATATACCCGATTGCAACGTTTAGTCATTTGGCAACCGGGCAAATACTCACAAGGTGCATTGTCGTGTGAAATTTCCCCATTTGTTTGCGCATGCATAGTATCATGGAAATAATATAATATTTTGTTGAAATTATGTGTTTAAAATTGATTGAAAACACTCATCGCGGAAGCTTGTTACAATAAATATTTCGGTGTGCGTCTTTTCAATAATCGCAGAGCGCCTTGGTTTATGAAACACAAATAAAATTCAAATCAGCCAACAGGTGGAGATATGTGTGCTATCTAATACATATTTGTGGAAGTTTCTCTGTTTGTCTGTTCTCGATTCAAATCAATATGGGCCACTCTAGATATGTC